AAAGCAAAGCGGGGGAAGGGGTTATACTATAGGTCTCAGATGCTATCTGATGACATAACATTCGGGCAGGAAAAGGCTGGGGTCCCACGATCCTCTTCAAGGGTATGCTCCAAATGACCGACCTTCCTTCCATGAGGCCCCACTTTCCAAAGGTTCCACAGCACCACAGGTACATGGGCCTTTGGAGAACACTCCATCCACCTTTTAAATTCTGGCTCTGGATCCCAGCATCTCCAGCAGATTCTGCTTACCATTACTTTTGGTCCCTCTGTATGTGCACTATCAAATGCTTTAAGAATTGAAAACCAACAGCTCAGAACTGAAGACAGGACACCTGCAATCCTAGATCCTGTTGCAAAACATTTTTCTTTTTTTATGCATATGAGTGTTTTGCCTGTATGTGTGTAAGTATACCATGTATACAAAGCCTACAGAGGCTGAAGAGGGCATCAGATCCCCTGGAACTAGACCTACAGATGGTTGTTAGCTGCCATGTGGGTGCTGGGAACCAAACACAGGTTCTCTGCAAGAGCAGCCAGTGCTCTTAACTGCTGAGCCACCTCTCTAGACTTGTAACACTTTTATTCAAGATTTATAGCCACCAATTAAATGATCAAAGAATTTTATTTCTGTAGTTTCTATATTTTTCCATGACTTTTGTGTACATTCCTATTTTTAGCCTTTGCTTTAATTTTTGAAAAGCTTTAAGGCATAATTCACAAATACAACTCAGTATTTAAAGTATACAGTGTTTTTATTCAAAGTGGTTCAACCATCACAATCTGATTTTAGAACATTTTTTGTTTTGTTGGTTTTTTTTTTTTTTTTTTTTTGGTCTTTTTGAGACAGGGTCTCCCTGTAGTCCCAGCTGTCCTGGAACTCACTATGTAGACCAGGCTGGCCATGAACTCATAGATCCACCTGCCTCTGCCTCCCAAGTGCTGGGAGTAAAGACTTGCACCACCACGAAGTTTTTTTTTAATTTTTAGAACATTTTCATCCTCCCCCAAAAAGGGCTCCCAGTCTTTAATAGTTAATCCCATCTCAAACCCCAAATAGCCCTGAGCAAACACTAATCTTTTTGTCTCTGGCTTGGCCTTTTCTGGATATTTTATGTAAATGAAATCGTAATGTGTCCTCTTTGGGAATTGGCTTCCTTCATGCAGCATGTTTCCAGGACCCAGCCGTGACAGAGCCTGTGGGGTTCTTCCTCATTCTCTTCGTTGCAGATAAGCCATTGTGTGAATACACCACATTCTATTCAAATACCAGTTGATGGCCATCTAAGGTGCTTCCACTTTTTTAGGCTGCTATGAATTATGCTACTGACATTTCAGTGGGGGTATTGTCTTAGTTTGGGCTACTAGCAAAATATAAGACCAAAAATAAATATGTTCTCAATATTTTTTTGTAATGCATTAGGATTTATCAACACCAGAATTATATGTGCATCCTATAGAAAAATCTATCTTGCAATATATAGATCAATTTAAACCTTTTAGATATAGTTTTCTTCTCCCAACGTACCATTGGAATAACTGTGCACACTTCCAACATGAGGCAAATATATATGCCAAAAGAGCTCTCAGAAAACTGACTCACTTTATTCAGACTGTGCAAAATGCTATTGTAAGAGCAACAACAGCACAACTAGAAAAGGTTATCCAAAATTTAATTCTCACCATCTTCTCTGGAAGCCCAACAAACTAGTTTAAATTTACTGACCCAGAACTGTCACGGACAATCATAGTCTTTGATGTGCTCTTAGCAAGCCAAGGAACAGTTCATGTTAAATAACTTGTACCGCTACACAAAAAAAAACTATAGACAGGCAAACACTTTTGAATATGCAAAAACAAGATGCTACCTGACTCTAAAACAGATCATTAGACTCAACATATTTTTGTAGCCTGGTTTTGGTAATCTAGTTTCCCAGCTACACACAATAGTAGAATAATTGTTTCAATTCTGCTAATTACACTGTAATTAGTTGATGCTTTTTGTCTTAAGTAATAAAAGCCATTGTATAGGCAGAAAGATTGTAAGAGCCAGGGGAGGAGGTGAATGACCATATGGAAATAGAATCTTACAGCCTCCTGGGACTTTGCTTATATGAACCTACAGCAATGGTGGCAGCATGCACAAGACCAATGCAAACTCAACCAGGAAAAAAATCCAGCATAGAACTGGGGAAATGGGCAGCAGATCCAATCTTGGCCAAAGAACTATTGGGTAGATGATTACTACTAGGTGAAGAAGAGCTGATCTTTAAGGGAGTGACTCTAGATAGGCTAACCAGAGCCCAGTGGATGAACTTGCACCGAGGGACATCTGAGGACACTAACTTGACTCAAAGACTTTAACATAAATGCCAGAATTCACGAAATACAGTGCGGTGGGGGGGGGGGTGTATGGGAGGGTGCCAATGGGAAAAGGAGTATAAAGAGGATTAAAATGTTGTGTATGGGGGCTGGAGAGATGGCTCAGCAATTAAGAACACTGGCTGTTCTTGCAGAAGACCCAGGTTCGAATCCCAGCATCCACATGGCCACTAACAGCTGTCCGTAACTCCAGTTCCAGGGGATCCAACAGCCTCTCTGTCTTTTGTGGGCATTGCACGACATAGGTACACTTACCTACATGCAGGCAATACACACATACACATAAAATAAAAATAATAAATAAAATATATAAAAAAATAAATGTGTATGAAATGCACAAAAATTCAGTAAGAATTATTAAAAAAAAATCTTTAAAGCTGTTGTATAGCCACTGTCAAGACACATGATTAAACAACCATCATTTGTTAACAAGAAGGTAATCAAACCACTGAAAACCTGATACACAGTCATAACCCAGTAAATAAAATAACCAACTCCAGGAGATAATGGCCTAGCCTTCAATTTTGGCTGAAGAATGTCAGAGAGAATTGAGAACCACCTTTTAAAAATTATACCACCTGCAAAATCCTAAGTCTACCAAACTTTGACAATGCAAGAAATTACCTAAGGGTTGGGACTAGAGGGACTAGGGAGAAGGACAGCTAACCTAGATCCCTGATTCAAAGAAAGACCACAAACTGATCTAACGCCTCTGTACAGGTTCACATTTTATTAACAATTTTTTTTTTAATGTGTATGTTGTACCTGCATGTAATTAATGTACTATGTGTATGTGATGCCCACAGAAGCCAGAAGAGGGCATCAGATCTCCCGGAACTAGAGTTATGGATGGTTGTTAGCCTCCATGTGGGTGCTGGGACTGGAACTTGGGTCCTCTGCAAGAGCAGCCAGTGCTCTTAACTGCTACATTTCTCTAGTCCCAGGCTCACATACTTTAAAGGCACTGTTATACTCTGGTTTCTCTTTGGATCATTTATGTCTTTTACCTTTTAAAGACACTGTACCATCACCTATCTGCCAAAGCAATCCAAAACTAACAAGGCTCCAAAATTCTTTTAAGTTCCTTTCCTTTATGGATACCCCATGGTTCCTGTACTGTACATAGTCCTTTGTTCGGTAAGCTAATCTATTTAGCTTTGATTATAGGTGAGCTCCTGGGTCTTCAGCCAATGGGCTTCACCAGTATAAGTCAAAACATTCTTTTTTAAATGAGACAAAAATGCTCTATCTTCATGAGCCAAGTCACTGAATCCTGCATTCTATACACAACTGCCTACTAATATTAACAGTTTTAAATAAAAGTTCAGTGGTTTTAAACATGGCAGTTATTAAATAAAAATGCATTATAAAGCCGGGCATGGTGGTGCACACCTTTAATCCCAGCACTTGGGAGGCAGAGGCAGGCAGATCTTTGTGAGTTCGAGGCCAGCTTGGTTCCAGGACAGCTGGGACTACAAGGAGACCCTGTCTCAAAAAGACAGAAAAAAAAAAAAAAGCATCATAAGAAACATTCCCTAAACCAGACATGGTGGCACTGATTTGTAATCCCAGCTCTTGGGAGGCAGAGGCTGGGGATGAGTTCAGGCTCATTCTCTGCTACGTAGGGAGTTTGAGATCAGCCTGGGCTGACACTCTATCTCAAAAGAAACACTTCCTGAAAACAATTTTTTCATGTAACAGTGCATACTTAGTAAGTTTTTCAAAAGTTATCCAATTTTGAGACACCTGACTGAAAGTTAAGTACTCTAAGGAGGAGCATGGTAACACATGCCTATAACTCCCACACTTGACTACACAGTGAACTTGAGGCCACCTATGCCACATGAGACACTGCTCAAACAAACAAGATAAATGAATAGTCTAGCACAGCACTGTGAGAATAAGTGAAAGGCTGTATATGCAATAGTATTTTGAATACTACTGTAGTGACAAGAACTTATTTTTATTTTTTGGTGTTTTTGAAACAGGGTCTCCCTGTAGCCCCAGCTGGCCTGGAACTCACTGTGTAGACCAGGCTGGTCTTGAACTCACAGAGATCTGCCTGCCTCTACCTCCTGAGTGCTGGAACTAAAGGCATGTGCCATCATGCCCAGCCGAGTAGGATTTATTTTTAAGACATGTACAACAGCCAAATTAAAATATGTGTCTCTGAGTAGTACTTCACATTTATAAGGGGAAAAGTAATAATGAAATTTTTCATTTTGGTAAATTTTATGTGTGTGAAGGTATTGCCTGCATCTATGTCCTGCAGTGCCTGTGGAGGTCAGAAGAGGGCGGATTCCCCTGGAACTGGAGTTTCAGACAGTTGTTAGCTGCATGTGGGTGCTGGGAATCAAACCCAGGTCCTCTGGAAGAGCAGCCAGTGCTCTTAACCACTGAGCCATCTCTCCAGTCCCAGATATTTTTGTTTTTATTTCTAGTTTTTATAGATTTTAACTAGTCAGCAGGCAGGGTTTTTCTTAATGTTTTGTTTTAATTTTTATTTTTCCTATTTCTAGTTTTTATAGATATTAACCACAGTCAGTAGGCAATTTTTAAACTTAGATTTCATGATCCTCTTGACTTCATGCTTTTAAATGACAATGACAAATTTCAAAATCCATTAAAAGTTATTTTATTCAATTTATGTTTTCCAAAAGAGAGGGTTCTGTGCTAGTCGTCTTTGAAAGTTTTCATACCTAGAAAAGAAAATTCATATATTTATAAGAACATTTAAATCACATCTTTCAAAACTTACCAAAGAACTTATTAAAAATAATTTTACATGTCATTTTTGAAGAGTTTTTTTTTTTTTTTTTTTGGGTCTTTTTTATGACAGGATCTCCCTGTAGATCACTAAGTAGACCATGTTGACCTTGAACGCACAGAGCTTCACCTGCCTCTGCCTCCTGAGTGCTGGGATTAAAGGTGAGCATCACCACACCCTGCTGAGTTATTCTTAAATAAACAGATGGCACAGTCACTTAACGGGGAGAGAGTAGTTTGATTAGCTTTTGTCAAAGAGTAGCAATCACATAAACTTTAGTAATTACACAAATTTCAGTGCTAGAATGACAATGGAAAAAAACTAACTCATTTTATAGACAGCAGATTCTTAAAAGTAATTTTCTCAAAGTTACATAGCAACATTGTGACAAAACTCAAATCCAGTATATTTCAGTATCCCCAAGCCATACCAGAGTACCACTTCCCTACAAAAACTTCCCAAACATCTCCCTACTAATTCAATGTTCAAACTAAAAAGAAATGCCTACAAAACAAAAACATGGAGAAGTTAGAGAAATAGATAGAACAGTCATTATTTGAGGATGCAGTGCAAACCACACTGATGCCCCAGCTGTGCTGAGTTTCAGTCAAGACTTTCTAAACTGAAGGGAGAAAAGGCTTTGATTGATCTCTCAGGTCTCATACACAGTACTTCTAACTCAATACATACAAACTGTACAAATTCTAATAGTGATCCCTAAAACAGAGTTACCCTGTCTTTATAAATCATAATGACTGCTATGCAATAAGATACTGATGGTAAAAACTAGTCCAGATCTGAACACTACAGTACATACATTATTGGCATGTAAAAAATTGTTTGTTTAGGATGACCTGCATTTGAATGAGTGGAACATGAAACTTGGAGATCAAACCGTAACCTCTACGGGTGAGACCCTAAACACAGAAGTCTCAAAGACCCTGACATGTGAAACAGCTGCATGATTGGTAGAGGAAGTTGGCCAGATCAGAAAGGCATATTAGCTTCCCTGTCTGAGAAAGTAAACATCTTGATCAATATATCACCAGACAATAGCTCTGAGTATGGCATAAACATCCTGCTATGTGACTGCCTTAGCTTACACCAGAAAAAGTTACTGTTCCTGTTTTGGGATTTTTTTTTGTCTAAAAATGTTCTGATGCTTTGTATGCAACTGCAAAAGTTATACATAACTGCTAGTTTCTCTTCTGTATAAAAACCTGTTGAATGCTTAATAAAGTGGGCTTGTAGCCAGACCCACAAGTGTTCAGCCTTCACTCTGGGCCTTTGATCCACCCTCTCGGGGTAGGGTTCCCCATAGGGTGGCCTCTGCAAAAAAAATCAAAACAAAAAAAACCACATTGGTGTCCTCAGTAAAAGAATATGTTTACATATCCAAAGAAATACACTCAGTGGGCATGGTAGCACACACACTGTTAGTCCCAGGCTTAGCAGGCAGATCTCTGTGAGTTCAAGGCCAGCCTGGTCTACATAGTGAGTTCTAGGCCAGCCAAGGCTACAGGGAAACCCTGTCTCAAAAAAAAAAAAAAAAAAAGAAAGAAAGAAAAAAGAAATACACTCATAGGCAAATGCATATATACAGTTACTAAAGCCTTAAATTGAAATGTCTCATACCATTTCAGAACCACATTTGCTGGAATGAACATTTCAGATGGATTGGGTGTCATCTGGGCCTGAGAGACAGCAAATGATGACGCAAAATTGTAGAAGTTGTCCAACATCTTTTGTGTAAACTGAAAAGTTAATAATTGATATGTTAAACAGTTATATGAAATATTAAATTAGACCTCAATATTTTAATTTAAAATATTCCTATACTGGGACTGGAGCAATGACTCAGAGGTTAAAGCACTGACTACTCTTACAGAGGACCCAGATTCAATTCCCAGCAACCACATGGCAGCTAACAACTCTAACTCCAGTTCCAGGGGATCTTATGCCTTCTTCTGACCTCTGTGGGTATTGCATGACACAGGTGCACTTACATACATGCAGGCAATACACTCATACACAAAAAACAAAAATAAAATATATTTTTTAAAATTCCTGTATTAAGTTGGTTTTAAGGAGTGTAAGTTCTAAGACAATCTAATGTTGAAAGTTTAGGATAGTCATAAGATGATATGTTAACCATTTGGGGGGGATAAAGGAAAACTTTCAAACTTTTCTTTCCTCTCCATTTGCATACTCCTCCTCTAAGACCACACTCCCCCATTGTTAGAATACCAAAGAGCCCCATAGATTTAACTGGTCTGGACTATAAAAATGTCTAGTCTATCTTTTGGAGGACCCACATTTCCAGTCTCACTGGTCAATCACCTGGTGATAGAACCACTCCCAGGAAGGCAGGTTCACCTTAAGTTATGCTAAACAGATGGGCAGAATACCTGGTGTGTTAATAAGGTAGTGAATATTTCCTGCCTGGAACTAGCACAAATCTCTGCAGAACTTCCACACCAGCCACAGCCACGTAGGTCTCCGTAAGTCTGTCTGCTTTCCTGAACTCTTCAGGAAAGCGTAATTTCTCCTTTTCTTAATGCCTTTCTTACTAAACATGCTTTCTCTGAGGCTTTGGGGTACTAGCTTCTTTTATTGCTTCACTTTTTCTCTAAAGCTTCCTTCTCCCAGCCATGTGGCTGTGAATCAGCCATGTGTCTGACCTCCATGCAGGCTCTAAACCTGCATGGCTTTCCTTCTTCCTGCCATTCACCTCCTCAAGGCAGTTGCCAAGATTACCAGCTCACCTGCCCTGGGGATTTTTCTTTAAGATTCTAATAAAGTTGTAAAAGCTTCTGTTTGGGTCCATTCTTAAATTCTTTTATGAATGAGACTAAGAACCCTCCAGGGGACCCTCTTTCACCATCACCATATTTCCTCACATAAAACAATAATCATTTCTAAGAAGTCTTTGTCCTGATAGAAAGAGCTACCAGTCATGGTGGTGCTCTCCTGTAGCCCCAGCACTTGGGAGGCAGAGGCAGGCAGATCTCTGTGAGTTCAAGGTTAGCCTGGTCTACATAGCAAGTTCCAGGCCAGTGGGGGCTACAGGGAGACCATTTCAAAAGGACCAAAAAAAAAAGCTACTGGGTTCCCAAGTCTTTTTCCCCACCCCCCCCATGGGAAAAAGGGGGGGGGGGGGGCCACTATTCCATTTCCTTCATTTGTTAATCCATCTTTTCTCATTGACCCTAACATGGTCAAATCTATTAAATTTGGGGAAATTTCCACAGAAGCCAGAAGTAAACTCATTCATAGTTCCCCAAAATCAAATGGGTTTAAAAGGAATAAATTTTAAATAACTTTTCTTAATTAAAAAAAAAAAGATTCCTAGCTTTGCATTACTTTCTCAAAAATACAAAACCAGCCCTGAAGGCTCCTGATGGCTCTTTTCTAGAAGAGGGATTGTTTTATTGGGGTATTAAAATCTGATCATTTAATGTGATAAAGGTAATACAACCCAGAAGAGTTACACTTAAGGTACTTGTTATATTTTCAAGAATTCACTTCGGCATGCTTTGTGCACCTTTAATTCAGGCCAGCCTGATTGATCTACATAGTGAGTTCCAGCTGGCTACATAGTGAGTTCCAGGCCAGCTGGGAGACCCTGTATCAAAAAAAAAAAAAAAAAAAAATTTAGTTCAGTATGGTCATTAACCAAAAGATCAGTGCCACAGCAAGTAACCCTCCACACCAGCAACAAAGAATTTTCTTTTTTTGAGAGAGGGTTCCTAGGTAGCCCAGACTGTCCTGTCCTGGAACTCACTATGTCCCACAGGCTGACCACAAAATCAAGACCCTCCTGCCTCTTCCACCAGAATGATGGAGGATTACAGACATGTGCCTTCACACTTGGCTACAAAGACTTAGATCTAGCTTTAAAAAGGATTTGTGACAGAATATAAACAAAATCTTTCTCAACAGCCACAAAAAATAGCTAATGCTAGGCTAATGAAGCTTTTATGGAAAATAATTTAAGACTAAATTGAAGGTCAAGAAAGAAAACAAAGGAGTGTGTTTGGTTTTTGGAGCTGAGGACTAAACCCTGGGCCTTGCTTGCTAGTCAAGCGCTCTACCACTGGGCTAAATCCCCAGCCCTCAAAGGGACTGTTTTTTCATTTTTGACTTTGGGTTTTTTTGAGACAGGATCAAAAGACAGTCTTAGCTAGCCTGGAACTTGCTAAGTAGACCAGGCTGGGCTCAAACCCACAGAGATCCATCAGCCTCTGCTTCCTGAGTGCATTTGTTTGTTTTTTGTTTGTTTGTTTGGTGTTTTTGAGACAGGGTCTCCCTGTAGCCCCAGCTAGCCTAGAACTTTCTATGTAGACCAGGCTGGCCTCGAACTCACAGAGATCCACCTGCCCCTGCTTCCCAAGTGCTGGGATTAAAGGTGTGCGCCACCATACCAGGCACTGGTTTTGTTTTAAACCACATTCAACAGAAAAATACATGATGCCACACACAGGAAGACAATGTGTAAAGGTAACAAATTCTCTTCAAACGTACAAATTCAATGCAACTTTCCACAAAACTCTAAACAAGTTTTTCAGTCAACTTGACAAGGTGATTCTGTATGGAGCTCAACAAGATGATGACTCAGCACACCTACGAATGGTGAAAGAAAAACCTGAATTTGAGTAACAGGCCCAGAAAATAATCAGTTCACAGTGGGAAAAACAAAAAACCAACCCGGAGTTCCAAGGGGGATGACAAGATAAATTTCAAACTGATGCACTTTACACTTGGAGAATTTGGGCATAAATCAGAACTAGAATGAAAAATCTGTGCAAAAGAAAAGGATGAGGCCTTTATTAACTAAGGAAAACCTGAAGTTCTGTGGGAAAATACAAGTACTGTGCTATCTATAGCTCAGTTCTGAACAATAGTTACCTGGTGGAAGCACTGACACCTCTGGCTCTTAATAAGACTCTCTATGGGAAGGAGGGAAGAAAGGATGTGTGTGCACGGGTAACTATGTGTGTCGAGGAATGGGGGGAGCAAAATCACCATGTTTCACACTGCTGAGGCAATGGAATTCAGAAAAATTAAGAAGAGATTGAACAAATTTTGCCTGAAACATAGGAGCAATGAACAGCAAACAGGAGAAGAAACAGATGACAAGAAAAGGAGGGTTGAGAGTGATTACTTCCAAGGGGCAGAGGACAGGTTCGACAGAGGATGGCTGTTTTGCATAGAAAACTATTTGATGTTCTGAACCAAATACACAGAGTGGTAACTGTGAAAATTAAATAATTAACCAAGAGTAATTAAATAAAAAACATGTTGAAATACACAGATAATTACACAAATCCTGAAGTACAGATTAATCTAAAGTTAGAAGAGCAGCTACCCGGGAGGTGGAAAAGCAAAGACCAGAGACTAGGGATATAGCTCAGTGGCAAACCCATGCTCATTAGCATGCACAAAAACACAAAACGGGAGGGAGGGAAAAAGAAACCCAGAAATTAGCAGCAAATACAAGAGAATATAACAAACCTAGCAGGAGATTCTTTGAAATCTTCCCATATACACTGCAACGTTTATTTTAGTTTAGTTCTTTTTGAGACAGGGTACCCTGGTAGCCCCAGCTGGCCTGCAACTCACTACATAGACCAGGCTGGCCTGGAACTCACAGGTATCCACCTGCCTCTGCCTGCTGGGATTAAAAGCATGAGCCACCACACCCAGCTGTACTTCAGCATTTATTATTACGCCAACATCATAATCACCTGAACAAATTGACGCACGTTTTTAGGAGTGGGCCCAAACTCTGAGGACGCTAGTTCCCCTAACTAGTTATTAGAGCCATCTGTCTCCCAGAGCTGTGCTGCTGATGATCTCTCTTGTCCCCTCAAACTGTGAAAATAGAGCTGTCTGTATCCCCACCCCGTGCTGATGAAACTGACTCTAGAACCTTGTTTCTCCCACTCTGTTCCTGGTCAGGCCACACCCACAATTTACTAAAAATGACTTCTCCAGCTTCATTTAGAAAGTACAAATTCAAATTCAGCTCCACCCTTACTCTCCACAGACAGGTCATCTTTTCATCCCTAGTTCAGGTTCATCTAAGGTGTCCAATATCACTTCAAGGGCTGTGACACAGCTCAGGGAAGAGTGCTTGACTAGCACATACAAGGCCCAGCACCATGAAGAAAAACAAAAGCTACTGCTTCAGCAGCCCTCCACTCTCTTACCGCGCCACAGTTCTCCTCTCAACATAATGCTAAGTGAAATAACCAGCCACAGAAAGACAAATATTGATGATCCTTCTTACATGTGAAAGCTATAAAGTTGAACTCACAGAAGCAGACAGAACAGTAGTAGTCAAAGGATAAGGGGTGAAGGGGACAGAAATGGAGAACTGTTGGTCAGAGTCATCTCATACGCCATAAAGATGCATTTTAATTTGTCACCTTAAAGTGGGGGCAGGAACAAAAGGATGAAATGTGTATGTATTACCTGAGTGAAGGAGTCCACTGAGGACACTGCAGCACTGCTGACAGGAGTCTGCTGAGCCAGGCTATCCAATAATTCCACTGATATTCCAATCTGAGCAACAGAGGGAGTTCGTACAATATTCATGGCTCCAAATGGGTGTTGACTTCCTTCTCCTGAAACAATTACAAGTGCCACATATTTCAAATGAACTTCTAGTCATACCAAATCCTCTGTAAATGAAGAACCTCCGATTTAGGTGCACCAAAAAGTATTCTTGGACTGGAAAGATGGCTCAGCGGTTAAGAGCACTGACTTTTCTTGTAGAAGACCTGGGTTTGATTCCCAGTACCTACATGGCAGCTAACAACTGTCCATAACTCTAGTTCCAGGGGATTCAACACTCTCTTCTGATTTCCTCGGGCACTGAACAACACGGGTGCACTTACATGCATGCAGGCAATACACTCACAAAATAAAAATAAAATAGTAAGTTCAAGTTTATCTCTTTTCAAATAACTATAAAAGGCTTAGTTTCCGCATACTAAAATTCAAGATTTCCCACCAGAAAAACAGATGTTACTTTTCTAAAACTTACCAAAAACTACTATGGCTAAAAACACACACCAGTAGAAATTAGAACTTATCAAGTAAGGAACACTCAATGCTAAATCTGAAAGTGGACTTTTAAAACAGTTTTACCATTCTCTGACATTCCATTACAGAACTGTCCTAGATTGCTCTTACTGCCCCAAAGCAGCATGGCACAGACAAGAACCCAAAATAGGAAAATCAACATCTCAAAAGTAAGCAGAAAAATAATCAATTACATTGATTATCATTGTCAAAACAATTAAAATTTTAAAAAGGCTGGAGAGAGGGCTCAGCAGTTAAGAGCACTGGCTGCTCTTGCAGAGGACCACATTTAAATTCCCAGCACCCTCACAGCTAACAACCATTTTAACTTCAGTTCCAGGGGATCTGATGCCCTCTTCTGGCCTCCACAGGCATTGCACACACGGGTACACTTACATACATGTAGGCAAAATACTCATACACATAAAAATAGTTCTCCCTCTTGCAGCCAGGAGACATCCTTACTTATACCTTTACCAGTGCCCTATGTCACATGGTATGGTACTTGCCCACATCCCTCCCCTCCAAGGAAAGCCTATAAGAGTCAGAAACTGTTCTTGGGATCTGTAAGAATAGAGGTTTCCATCTCTCCCTTCAGCCCTGCATGGTTACCTGAGGCCATGGTGCTGTTATTTCTTCTATGACTGGGGAGAAGATGTCTCCCTTCACAGTCCCTACTGTGCGTGCTATCCATAACAGCTTTCTGCTAATGCAGCTCCTCCTCAGGTCTGAGGGCTTGCTCTCCTGAAGAGCAATCATCTCAGCTTTCCTTTTCTATGAACCCCTGCTCTTTTTAACATAAGTCTCCCCAGGAAAAGTCACACAGAACATGGAATAAATATACCCATCTTATAAATCTCCCCTAGCACCACACAAAAATGTAGATAAGTAAACAGGTTTCTACTTATGGCTGTATATTATTCTTTTTCTGCATAAGCACTGTCAAAATGCAATACTTCAAAACACAATTTTGAAACCTTTAGCGGCTCATAATTTGTTAAAAGGATAATCATCTTCTCTAGCCACAAAACATTCTCATTTTTACATTTATAAACATTATTAAGAATGATCAACTGTGGGGATGGTGACGTGGCTCACTGAGTAATGGTGCTTACTATCAAGACTCACTGTCGGGAGCTGGAGAAACAACAATCATTACCAAAAAATATAATATAGCTCTACAAACAGTTGACTTAAGCAGGAAATTCTGCCTGCACTAGTAACCTTGAGAAAGAATTTATGGCAAGGTTATCTTTCTCTTCCTCTTGCAAACAGTTCTCGGAAAGATAAGTCATGCAGTAATCCCTTGGAACACCTGGCGGTCAGTCACGTTGCTGAATTGCTCAGTCCCCCTCCCATACCCATAAAAATGCTGTAACCTTTTGACCAACTTCTTCAACCCCTTCTAAATACAAACTGTATATAAGAAAAGCTTGCAATACAATAAAGCGACCCTTGACAAGTGGACTTGCTTGGGCTCCATCTCCTCTTTCTCACCCGTTTTTCCTTTCAGGAAGTGGTCCCCCTTGAGCTTTACCTGTACAGGGTCCCCGCAGGCGGGGGCACCTCACGACCCGAGTTTGATTCCTGGGACCCACAAGGTGGAAGAAGAGAACCAACTCCCGCAAACTGTTCTCTGATCTCCACATGCACACCATGGCATATTCTCTCTCCCTCTCCCTCTCCCTCTCCCTCTCCCCCCCCTCTCTCTCTGTCTCTCTCTCTAACACACGCACACACACTGTAAATGTATAAAAAGAATAAATAGGAGGGCTGGCAAGACAGTTCATCAGAAGTCTCAATACCTGAATTCCATCTTCAGGACCCGCATGGTAGAAGGAGAGAACTGACTCCTGCAAGCTGTCCTCTGACCAGAAGATGCACACTGGCACATACGCTCACACACATATATACACAACAATACATTTTAAATTATAAAACATAAAGATAAATAACTCTGAAGCCGGGCATGGTGGCGCACACCTGTAGTCCCAGCACTTGGGAGGTAGAGGCAGGTGGATCTCTGAATTCAAGGCCAGCCTGGTCTATATTGTGAGTTCCAGGCCAGCTTGGGCTACAGGGAGACCCTGTTTCAAAAAGACCAACAACAACAACAACAATAATAATAATAATAATAATAATAATAATAATAAATAACTCTCTAAGAATGAATGCTTGTGAAGGATTTTCCACATTAGATTAACTGATGTAGGAAGATCCGATGCTCTATTTTCTTTCTGTTACTGAAATAAAGCACTATCACGAAAAGCAAATTAAAGGTTTTATCTGGTTTATACTTCCAGGCTACAGTCCATCTTTGAGGGAAGTCAGGGCAGGAACTCAAGCAGGGGCTTGAAACAGAATCCATGGAGGAACACTGCTTGTTGGCTTGCACTCTGGGTCATGCTTAGCTAGCAATCTAATAGACTACTTGCCTAGGGAATGGTGCCACATACAGTGGGCTGGGCTGTCCTACATTCACTAATAATAAACAAGCACTCACAGACATGCTCAGACCAACCTGATCTAGGAAATTCCTCAACTGAAGCTTGATGATTCTAGGCTGTATAAAGTTGACAATCAAGGCTAACTAGGCCACCCTGAATGTGTGTGTTGCCACTGTATTGGCTGGGGTCCTGAAACGAATAAAAAAGGAGTGGAAAGCTGAGCACAAGCACTCATTGCTTTCTGCTTGTAGACTGTGGGTGCAACACAGTCAGATCTCAAGCTCCTGCCATCACAATTTCCTAGCATGATAGACTGTACCCTGGAACTCTGAGCCAAAACCAACCCTTCTTAGGTTGCTTTGGTCAAGTGTTAGTTACAACAAGGGGACAAGTGACTAACACGCCAATTTGGTGGATTTTCTTTTTTTCAGTTTTATACCTATTTCCCATTTCCTTTCAATTACCTTTGATTATAAACCCACATTCAGGATCTTCATACATCTTTTCACCACATACCTAAGATGTTAATACTGTGTAAAAATTCCTTCTTAAATGACTGAGTAAAATACCTTATTTCCTTCAGTGAGCTAGGTGTGGTGGCCCAGGCCTATTAATCCTAGCACTCGGGAGGCAGAGGCAAGCAGATCTCTGTGAGTTGGAGGCCAGCCTGGTCTACACTTCAAGTTGCAGGACAGCTGGGGTTACAGGGAGACCCTGTCTCAAAAAGACAAAAACAAAACAAAGAAAAAGCCCAAATAGTTCATGATCAGTTACTTAGTTGAAGAAATTCAGATGACAAGCACATCATCTGAAGACTCATTAGCTATCTCTGCTAATGCAAGAAACTTCACTATCATCTATCACTTTTATATGTTTTCATTTACCCCACTGTAAAACTTCCTCTACCAATTACTTTTCTTTGCTATTATGAGCAAATTATAAATTTCATATTGTTTAACAAAAACTAAAAGAAGGCCATAAAGATGTCCTAGTCTCTTCATATTTCTTAAAAGATGACACAATCTTTTGAGAAACACTATATGAAAATTATAGGTCAGTGCAATGACAAAGGTTCACAGATCAAATCTGGCCCACGCTCAATTTTGGTATGACCTGGGAGCTAATACTTCTACTATGTGGCTCTTTACAAAAAAGTTAGCCAACCTCTGTCATGGGAAATACCATCATTTTTCCATTTTTCTTATTATTTCACATTTCAGCCCTTTTTCTTTGGTACAGTTGAAAATAAGTGATGTATAATGATGAAATAATTTTTTGGTTGAAATGCCAAAATCTTTAAGATACTGGAATAAGCCAGTACTTGGGAGGTAGAGGCAGACTGATCTCTGAGTTCAAGGCCAGCCTGGTCTATATAGCAAGGCCAGCTGGGGCTACAAGGAGACCCTGTCTCAAAAAGACAAAAAAATAAAACCTAATCTAAACTCTACCACTATACACAAAGCACAAAGCAAAAAGGTTCCTACTGTCAAGGAGCTTTGTCAAACAGGCGCAATAAGTCACTTAACCATTCTGAACTGGTTTCATTGTCTGGGTGATTTTTGGTTTCTTCTTGTTCCAATTATTTATTTTTATTTTATGTATATGAGCATTTTACCTGCATGTATCTATGTATGCCCACAGAGGCCAGAAGAGGCCGGATTCCCTGCAAGTGAAGTTTATAGATGGTTGCTAGCTGCCATGTGCATGCTGGGAACCGAACTCTGATCCTTTTGCAAGAACAGCCAGCGCTCTTAACCACTGAGCCATCTCTCCAGCCCCCTGGTTTCATTTTTTTTTTGAGACAAGGTCTCAGTTAGCCCAGGCTAGCCTTGAACTCTTGATCTTTCAGTCTCCACCTCCTGACTACTGAGATTACAGGTAGAAGGTGCCACTATATCCAATTTATCTGGGCGATTTCTAATATGTCTTTTAACATTGGCATTCTATAACTGTAAAAACAACCATTTATGAGTGCCAATTGTGCCATTTTTTCCATACCTTTTTCTAATGCACTTTGCATACATTACATTTAATGTTTATGAAACCCCTTGCATGTGGGTATTATTTCCAATTAACCTGAATTCAATTCTCCT